GGTTCGATCCCCGGTCGGGTCAATGTAGAAAATGAACTTTTCTATATCGTGTCGTGTCTGGGTGTTGTGTTACTTTCGTTGTCTCAGATACTCCATAATACGGGGTCTTGACTACTCATCTTGGAATCTGAATAATGTATGTGATATTGTGTAATATTTATTTATTAATAATCTTACCTATTGGCTTCAAAATGATTTTATTTTATTTTTAAAAACAAAACTATCAATCCGATTTTGATAAAAATTATAGTTACCATCTCGGATCCATAAGCTGCATAATAAAAAAAGAATATCGCAAATCGACCAATAAGTACGTTCCTAATTTTAGATTTTGAAGTCTACGACAAATCCGAGGCTGTTAATTTAATAACATTAATGTTTAGTTCTGGACAGTCGATAATTGAATTCTATCACACGTAAAATTGCCTATTGATCTATCCTATATTCGGAAATTCTTCAGTAATCTTATGATAAACAAGTCTGTATTTACTATACATCTTCGTACAGCATTTTTTCAGGTCTTGATGAAGTCTGAAAATGGTTCCATTTTATGGAACATGGAACTTTCTAGAGAAAAGTTCCATTTTGATCCATGCATTTCGGTCCACTCCAGCTGTACAACAAACTTTTTATTAATTTATTTATTAATTTATAATAATTTTATATAAAGATATTTTTAATTTGGGTTGTGGCATTTGGGAAGCCCATTTTTCAGATTGTTTTGAACTTATCAACTTATGATAAGTTCAAAACAATCTGGAAAATGGGCTTCAACTAACAAGAATAAATTCGCCGTTTCTTACGCACTGCATCGAGGTATCGACGCTTCATACTACATAAATTGACATCGCAGATTAAAAAGCAATGCTTCATGTTCGTTAACAAAACGCTTTGTGTTTGATCCTGCTTCCTTTTTTGAAGGTCAATTCATATTAACCAACATCACAACTGATAAAACAAAATTCTACGCTTGACCACCAATATGCAGTCGAGAGTAAGAAATAAGAGACTATTGGATAATGTAACATCATTAAAAGTTTCAGGTGTATCTACAGACAAATACAGCACGGTATCGTCAGTTAAGGTTCAGTCTTGCAATTCGCGATTCCATAAAATTGTTGTGGAATTTCCTGAATAAACCCGACCAGCAGATACTCCTCATGTTACACTACACAAAAACTGTTGCACACCTTGCAGCTTGCACCTTGCACCTGCAGCTTGCACACCTTGCCGCCTAGTTCCCGCTCTATAAGCACATGATCGCTAAGCGGAAAGTTGATGTTATGCTCCAAAACGTACCATTCGTACCATCGTACCATAATTTTACCAGCAAAAAATCACGTTTGTTGTATGGGAGCCCCCTTAAATATTTATTCACAATTATAATTCATGAGATTTTCCCATTTGTACCCGTTTTACCCCCTAATGTATCCAACGTTATTTGTGCTTGGCATGGTTGGATATAATATTAGAATTAGAAGGCAGTTGAGTTTGGCTACGTACATGTTTAAAACATTGCCTGGTCGAATTTCCAACCATATAGTGTTTGAGTCAGTAGGGTTGTGCGTTCCAAACCAATATGTGTTGCGGCGTCGACAGCCGCCTCTGTTCGCATTACCATGTACACGTACAAACATATTAGGAGAGGCACGTTGTCTAAACGAGGTTGCAAAGTCTATAGATTTATTTTGTTGTCCATTGAAGGAATTCGTATCAGCAGTATTATAATGTCTTATATAATAAGTGTAAATTTTATTAGGGAAACCTGTAGTGATATACAGCGTGTTTGGTAATACCTGTATAATCCCGAATATGGCACATACGGTATGATGAATAGAACCCAGAAAAATGATCACTAAGACTGAAACCCAGCACATGACCTAGATATTCAGCTTTTTTTCTTCGTAGTAAAACTGTACGCTGACAACCCTAAAAACAGCTGTTGTGTTGTATTTGGTCATCAACTCCATGTGCCGATCTAGTTTAAAAAATAACAGAAGTTAAATAAATCTAAAGATAAATGCCTAGAATAAATATGCATCTGAGAGGAATTTATTATTTCCAAACAAAGAAAAAGTTAGTAGTAAATGACTTTTAACTATAAAAAAACACTAATCTTGTGATTAACGGTGTTTCAAAAACTATTAATATGAAAACTTCTGTAATAATACAGTCAAAATAAAAAGAAATTGCAAATACTTTGATTGAAGTTCAATATCTGCACCATTGCTCACATTAGTCTATGCAAGAAGGAGCGAGAGAGACATAAAATCGACGACGATGTGTATTGAGAAACTCGGGTTTCTGATGTGTCAGTAAGGTTCTGTAGATTATTTGCTTTGAAGTTTTGTTATTTTTTTCATAAAGCCGTGTTATTTTAACGAAACAATAAAATATGGACTTATACAATGATATTAATAATCTAAGTATCTCTCTTATTCTTAGTTTAAATGATAATTAAATAAAGGTTAGTTGTAATGGAAAGGTCTAATAATAAATAATATTTCTTGACGCGGAACCCCAAAATCGGTACACTTTTGATTTAGGTACATTGGTGTTCGAGTTGCAATAATAATAACCTATGTAGTTTTGGTCATCGCGTCAGTCGCGTCCGTGACTTTCATCGGCGTACTTGTGAGTTTTCAGAATTTAGAAGGTCAACTTACGGTTTCGTTCTTTCGGGACTTTTGGTTTGTTTTTCATTCTCGTTCTGTTTACCTGTGTATTATGTTTGTGTGCGGTCAGTGCAATGAATTCGTACTCAAATGCCTAATATTACGAGATGATAATGTGTGGCGGTGCTTATGACGGTAATCTTGCTGCGGCTCGGCGGCGTTATGACGAGCGCCACGTGTCAGGAAGACCTGAAAACCATCGACGTCTTCCTTCTTACCGGTGATTCGCGGCATTTGTGAATTGGTTACATACAACTGGTTCATTCCATAGTGTGCCACAGGTAGGCCGGCCGATCACCTATTCCATCGAGACAGAGGATATGACTTTACGTCGAGAGTAACACGACACGGTCTGTGTCGAGTCGAATGGACATGTGTGTTTTATGCGGTGGCCGGCATATCGAGACCCTGGACTGATAAAGTGGAGGTGAAGTGTAGGTAATGTTGACAAGTGAAAGCTGAAAGAGTGATTAGAACGCTATAGGTATGTACCTATTTAATCTTAAATTGTTTTAATTACAAGTAAACTCATACGTAGTCGAGTGCGCGCGTCGGCAACATCAAAATGTATTCAAGGAAACGAGAGAGTGAGAGGTAATGAGAGAGAGAGAGAGAGAAAGAGCGAGTGCGCCGAGACGGCACGTGTAAGCTTACAGGGTTGTAGCATAGTAATTGAAAACAAATTGTTCAAATATTTGTATGAAAATATCAATTTACATGAAATTGTTTTTTGACCTATCAATTGTGTTCTTTGTGCTAGGTTGTATGGCCATGTTTCGGGATTATACAGGTATTACCAAACACGCTGTATAATTATATGTAGCAAATAAATAAATTTACTTTATTCTGGTTAAATACAAAATATTTGTTGTTCAGCAACAGAAATACATAATCTGTAAAAAATTCAACTAACTTTCATTGCTTATGAGATATAGCCTAGTGACAGACAGACAGACAGCGACGGCTTTGTAATAGGAATTACTTAGTAATAGACATAGGAACGGAATCCTAATAAAAATCTAATAATGCAATATTTTTATTAATAAAACTTTCCAAAATATAATAAAATATAAACGCCCTGATGCCTTTAAAATGTGGTGCTGAATGTGCATGTTACGAATACCCTGAACTGCGACACACACCAATGTGTCCATAATTTCAATGCTCAGTATAAAGACGTATATCTCTTCAATTTGCGAGTAAAGTTTCATGCGTTATTTTTAGAAATAGTTGTTATTAGGAATACTGAAGGCTAAAGACATCACGTGGCCAATCAACAACGCGACGGACGAATCAACTTAAGAATGTGTACCCTTCTCATAAATTCTCCTAGGTGATGAGGTGCGCAATTAATAGCGAAAATGCAGTCGTGCTAAAAAAAACGACCACCAACAATAAGCATCAATCATGACAGTTTTCCTTAATTAGTTTTCATAACTCAATAAACAACTCATATTCTATTTGTACTTTTTCGTATTTGTATTGATATCTAGGTTTTCGAACTTTTCAAATTTCAGTTTTTTAATATGTTAGTTAAAAGGAATGGAAATGACTGTCTTTGGTCCAGTCGTTTCCTGCAAAAATCAACTTTTGCTAGAGTCGCCATCTAGTGGAGGTGCTTTTTAGTACTTTCTTTTTGCCATACGAATCGTTAAAATTATAAAAAGAGTAAATTCAAATTAAAAGCGCTTGTGTTACCAAAAATGTTACCGCATTATGAATAGCACCACCTTGCATCTGTGGCACCACCCCATCACTTACTACCTCTTGTATAGCTGTTGACGACTTTAGTGGAAATATTATCTCTTAAAATGAATGTGTTCTAAATTCGTTTGCCTGTAATTTAAAAAATATAAATGTCACTGACTAAAAAAAGTAGGTACCTATCTTTTTCTCTATGGTTTTGGGTTTATGAATGAACAAAAGAGAAACGAAAAAAGGTTTCGCCTACATAATTTTAGTAAATTATGTTAATGTCTGAACAAAAAGTAAAACGTTGAACAAAAAAAAGCAACTCAAACACTTGTGAGTTTTAAAATGTTACATTGATCTTTTCAATAATTTGTTCAGCAGAATGATAATTCAATCGAGTTAGAGAGAGAACTCCGACAGCGCAGCTGAGCTGTCATTGTCATTTCAATTTTTTGATTGACTGACTGCTCATCACAAAAGTGTCGTAGATAGAATTTTACATGGCAAAAAATACTAAATGTGAATTCATAAAAAAGTGGTACCTCCATTTATAATAATTACAAATAGCCTTAAAACAAAGACTTGGGCTTGTCATTATGTAGGTTTATGGATATTTTATTAGCTTGTGTTTGTGACGCGAATGACGTTTGCTTTAGTCGGATCGGATTGACTAGATTAAATTCTAATTCCAGATGCAAATGAGAGTAACAATGAAGTATTCTCCCAACTGCAAATGAACAGTGGATTAATATATAATATTATTATTATATTATTTTGTTGGTATAGAAGATTGTAGCTGCAATAATGAAGAGTGCATTGCCGAAAGAAAAATCAGGCAAGATGAGGATCAGAGCTTTCCCTGTAAGTTCGATATCATACACAAACATTAATAATCTCTTAATTTACACTTTAATCGTGTTGATTTCTTGTTTATATACTATTTATAGGTAATTTTCAAATATCTTTATATAGGCACACCTAATGTCAAATAAAGCAATAATCTATTTATCAACAGTTTTATCAGAATCATTTTTAAATATTTAAAGTATTTATTCTTGTACTGTGTATACTAGTTTTAATAGTTTGTGTTTTCATAGATTGTTATGAATATTCTTTTTTATAGATTTACAAGAAATTTTATTTACCACATACATTAGTTCAGTGCATCTAAAGTGAATAGTGACTAATATAAAATAAGGATACCTTAATTTTTAATAGTCACTGTTAATTGTTTTATGTAAATATCTATTACCAACTCACCTCTTTTCATATTTAGTCATACAGGATTATGGCAATACAAAAAATGTCATAAATTTTAAAAATAGAAGTCACCAAATTTCAGTTTAGAACAAAATTTTGTGTGTATTGTGTCATAATTATATTTTGACAACAGTGTAAAATCAAAGAATAGACTAAATATATTATATAGATATTCAATGTTTTGTTTTGATTGTGTACAATGTTTGTGTAAGAATATTTGATATTAATTATTTCATAATGACAAGAAAATTTCAAGTATGGAACTATTCAGAACCATATTACCAAATGTATCCAGACACATGGGTTTGTGGTTTTATTACATTGAGATTATTTATATTTGCTACCAAAAGTATTGAATTTTACAAACATTTTGTATTATATTTTATTAATTATGTATTATTCTAAACATGGTTATCAATTACCACAATAAAACTGAAGATATAGATTTATAGGTCACTAAATTATTTTAAAATGTATGTAGATATGCATATATCTTTTTAGCTATATCTTTTAAATTTGTTATTATAGTTACAGTTTACAATAGACAAAGAATTCAGAACATATAATACTTAACCCATTAGTCCTTATCATAGATTCATGACATATTCAGGCTGTTGTATACAATACTCTATGTTAGTTATTCATAGGTCATTTATTTTCTTCCATTCACTGTAAAGCGAATTATTCTACAAAAAAATATATATTTTGCTCACAGATGTCTATGGACGAAAAATATGTAGAGAGTATATGGAGTTTACTGAAAAATGCAATACAGGAAATACAAAAGAAAAACAACTCTGGTCTTTCGTTTGAAGAACTATATCGCAATGCTTACACTATGGTACTCCACAAGCATGGCGAGAGATTATATACCGGTTTAAAGGAAGTGGTCACTCATCATTTGGAAACAAAGGTACAATCTTTAATTTTTTTTTATAATTATATTGTCATTATAATTTAATCCAAAATTTTTATAATTAGCTATTGGTAATACATGTACAGCGCATACACTTGTGTAGCTCTTTCAGTTTAAATTTGAAAATTTATATTGCATAAAGTGCATCAGTGGGCCAGCCCATCACTGAGTAGGACCACAATCTGAAAAATCGCCTACCCCCTTGCTATTATGCCAAATGACAGGAATAGTGTGCAAAACATTTTCTCAGGGTCAAGGAAAGATGAGAATGTACTGACTCTGTAAAGAAAATAATGTAAATAAAAATAATTTTAATACAAATATCTGCAATTATGTTTCCATGGAAACAGAATATGTCTTCTATTGTCAAGCATATCTGCTTACTTTTAAATATTTTGAATCCAATTGTTTAGTGTATGTATGATATGACAAATCTTTCACTTGACACTTAATGAATATGAATGCTTACTAAAAAATCCATTTGAAATCTTATAATGTAATCATATTTGCATTGGATTTAAATTAATTTAATCAACACTGTAATGTTTATTAAATAAATTCTATATTTTTTATAATATGTTGTATCATAAAATCAGAACAGTAATCATAGAAATTGATATTTGTTTTCTGTGAGAATGAGAACGAAAAAGACTCATTCAGTTATTTTCTCAATGTTGCTTTGCAAATCAAAATACACTGCTCTCATTCCAAGAAAAGAAATTTGTGCACTTGTTTTATAATTTCAATAGGAAGGTTTATATGTATAATACAAGACCACACTGGCAAAATGGAAATCAAATATCAGAATATAGAAATAAAGATGATACTAAATAATTAAATAATAACAAATTTTAGGTCAGAGAAGATGTTCTCCACTCTTTACACAATGGTTTCCTGCAAACTCTCAACAATGCTTGGACTGATCACCAAACTAGCATGGTTATGATACGTGACATACTTATGTATATGGACAGGGTATATGTGCAGCAGAATGAAGTTGATAATGTTTACAATCTTGGACTCATAATCTTTAGAGATCAGGTAATTTTAATTGAAAAGCATATAAGTATAGTTTTACCCTTGAAAAAATCTAAACTGTAACATGATAAAAAAATAATGATAAAAGACTCTTTAGTGTTACTAAATTCAGCCAATTGCCAAAAAGCAACCGTTTTAAACTCTACTTTAACTCCTTCATATACATACCTATTTAAAAACATAATAATATATTGTTATTCTTATATTTTTATCTGTGTGTACTAAAAAATAAAGTCTCTTTCTGCTGTTTGTTTGGTACACTGAGATCTTTTATTAGTTTAAAACAAATTTTAATGTGATTTTCATCAATATACAGAGTGAATTGCGAGGAAGGTTTAATACAGAATACAGGACCACGCAGGCGACGCTAGTGTTAATTATAATTTTTCACAGGTGGTTCGTTACGGATGCATTCGCGATCACCTGCGCCAGACGTTGCTGGAACTAGTGGCACGTGAACGCCGCGGTGAGGTGGTAGACCGGTTAGCTATACGGAACGCCTGCCAGATGCTCATGGTGCTTGGCATCAACTCACGCTCAGTATATGAAGAGGACTTCGAAAAACCCTTCTTACATCAGTCTGCTGAATTTTATAGAGTAAGCATTTATTGTTTTAAGTTCAAAATTGGTTGTATTAATCAAACTTTGTTGTCTTTAAACTTATTTGATAATGGTAAATGTTTATTTATTATTTAGGTATGCCAGACTTACATTAGATCATTATATTTGATCAAGTTTTCATTTTAAATGCTTTACTGAAAAAAGTTCATAATGGAAAAGCTTAAAAATATATTTCCTTAAGAATATTTCTTATTAGATCATTTCATAAAAAAAATATTTGTTCATTTTAACATCATATTTTTAATGTCTTTTATTATAGGATATATATAAGCATGTTTTACCACCATGTGATTTATTTACCACCGAGAAGAAAAAATTATCAAAATGCTTTCGCTCTTTTATAAATAACTTTTTTATTTTATTATTTATGTCATTGTCACAGGTATTTCTACTGTTTATATTGATTAGTATTCTTTGCCAAAACGTCGTATTTTCCTACTCCGCTGCTCGTTTTTAGTTCAATCTCAAAATGATAATTTGTTTTAGATGGAATCTCAAAAGTTCTTAGCAGAGAACAGCGCAGCGGTTTATATAGCTCGCGTGGAAGCTCGAATCGGTGAAGAGGCGGAACGTGCACGCCACTATCTGGATGAAACCACCGAGCCGCGTGTAGTCGCCGTACTAGAACACGAACTCATCGAGAGACACATGAAAACTATTGTCGAGGTAAATCTAATCATAGGTATGGCCAGTGGCGCACTAAGGGGGCGGGAGGGGGGCGAAGGGAGCAGCACGCCCCGGGCCTCTGGTCCTGGAGGGCCAAGAAGCTGCAAGTTTCCTTGATCAAATCGTGAATTGGGGTCGGAGCCCGCGTAAACAAATAAGTGCAGAATGTACGGGTAATTTAGTCTTTTTTATTAAAATTATTTTTACTGCTTTATCTTTCTAATGAGAGAAGAAAGAAGTCTGATCTTACGTAATATCGCAAAAACTTGCAAAGTTAAAATTAATTTGAACACACGGCTGCACATCAGCTTACCACAATATACTAAATTTTCTCAATTGATTTTGTACCCTACTATCAGTGTTAAAGTTTTAAAATCAAGTTGAGAAATTGAAGTGTTGTTGTTCAAACTGTACCTATAAAATTTTAATGGAAAAATATTAAGGGAAGATTTTTGTGATTTTAATATAACGTTTATTGAATAGAAAAGGGAAGAGTTGTTTGTGTATGTATTTATTCTTAAAAATTTTCAACAATTGCAAATGCACCTACCTTTATTGTTTATTTCAATCTCCACATCACCTAAAAGTTAACTGATAAAGAATGCCTAACACATTAAGTGCGCCTTTGTACGGTTGTACATGAAGCATTGAAAAGATAAAAACTGGCGAACATCCCAAAATAAGAGCAAAATTCCATATTGCGAAAACGTAGGGTATGATCGAGAGCTCCCACTATGAATTATATATTGCACCGATTAAGATAATGATGAACTGGTCTTCTGACTCAGATGGAGAACTCTGGCGTAGTCCACATGCTAATGCACACTCGTACCGCCGAGTTGGCGTGCGTGTATAAGCTGTTGTCTCGCGTGCCCGAAGGTCTACGCACTGTGGCCGACGCCGTGTCCGCGCACCTGAGGGAACAGGGCCGGGCTCTAGTCACGGATACACATCATAATACTAACGCCATCGCCTTCGTGCAGGTAATCACTGCATACTTTAGTTATTAGACTGTTTTCTCGTAGGGAGATAATTTATTAATTTATGAACTGTCCATACCACTTGACAGGTGGCACATGGTGGTAGACTAGTTGGCTTGAGTGAACAGTCTTAACAGTTTGTGGTCGCAATTTCTAAGGATGTAATGTAGTACAGTAGAAACTCCTTAGTCGCGGAGGATACGTTCCTTAATTATGGCATTTTGTGTGGAATTATAGGGAATACGTTTCAAGGTTCCAAAACAAAAGTAATATGTTACGTAAGATTATTGTGGAACTGTTATTTATCAAAATGAAAATCAATTTTTATTGTAAGTTTAAAATTAGGGTGATTTTGAGATTGTATTCATTATTCCATATTGCAATTTTTAAAGATATTTAAATTCAGATTCATTACAAAGTAGCTGTAGCATTCATAATACAGCTTTTAACAAAGCAAAACTTGCAAGGTGTTATAAAAGCCACCTTGTCACGTGCCCAACATATTTGAAGATGACGATGCGTTAATAAACGACACTGAATTTCTTTATGTTACCAATTGCACCCACGGATAACCAGAGTTTAGCCGTGACTACAGAATTTGGGTTACAATTTTTCACCCGCAAAAACGCGAATAATGAAGCCGTGAAGCCTAAGTAACTGCTACTGTTATTTTTGTTTTAAAATAAACTGTAAATTTATTTTGTTTATGCAACATTAACTAGCGATTTGTAATCTGTGGATTACAAGAACCGAAACGCTGGCGCCATATGATGAAGCATAGTGTGACGTCTCATATCATAATCTAAAAGACAACGTCTTTGATGCTAGTACAACTATATAGTCTTTGATGCTAGTTCTATAAAAATCCAAACCCGAATTTACTTCAAAAAGCGGCATCGGCTCAATTTTGAATTGGCAATAACGTTTCGTGGCTTAAGTAAGGTGAGTTTCGAAACGACATAGGAATAAAACATTTGAGATATGTACTCGTATTATCAATCAATTTTGTTTTGTATTTTTATACAAACAAATTGAATTAATAGAATTTCTTCACTAAATTACGAGAATTCGAACACATGAGTGAATTTGAATTCGGGTTCAGATTTTTACAGAATCGCTCTGCTCACTCACTCATATATATTGAATTGTGACGTCATGACGAATGCCACGTGTGAGTTGGTTTCATTAAATTGATGAATAAAACACGTTTTGAGTAAAATAAATCTAGTATCTGGTGGTGAGTAGCTCGGTTGCGTAGTGGATGAGCGCCGCGGCCCGCGATCGTAGTCGTTGGGCAACTTTCGCAAGGGTCGGTCACTGGATGGGTGACCGGAAAATTATTATCTCGAGCTACTCCGTGCTTCGGAAGGCACGTTAAGCCGTTGGTCCCGGCTGCATTTGCAGTCGTTAATACCCTCCAATCCGCATTGGGCCGGCGTGGAGGGTCATGGCCTATCCTCCTTAACCATCCATAAGGAAGGCCTGAGCCCCTGCAGTGGGGACGTAAAAGGGCTGATGATGATGATGATGAAATCTGGTATGTTAAAATACTATTCCCAAAAGTCTTTTAACAATTATTATTCTTACAGTGATATGTATCTTTTTTATCTTTCTTATGTCGAAACCCTGCTACTGATTTTGTATAGCCTTTAAATTAATACTTGTTTTTATATAAAAAATATATTAAAAATTGCCTAAAAAAAGTCGCATTGATAATTGACAACTTGAATAGAGTTTAAAAAATTGTATATATTGTAATTTTGCTCTTAACGTCATATTTAACGATTCATTATTATTTTGGTATAGAGGTTAGTGAAACGCATATTAAAGAAATGATAATATAAAGTAATTACATTTATATATATTAAATAAGATTATTTTGTGTTTTTTTTTATCCTATTAAGCAGAAATGAGTACTCATCGCTCTATTAATATTTTGTAATTATACCTAACTAATTCTTATTACATTAACACTATCATAACGTTGTTTCAGAATCTCCTAGACTTAAAAGACAGATTTGATCATTTCCTACAAAACTCATTTAATAATGATAAGATTTTCAAACATATGATCGCGTCCGATTTTGAATATTTCCTCAATCTGAACAACAAATCTCCAGAATTCTTGTCGTTGTTCATTGATGGGAAACTGAAGAAAGGTGAAAAGGGTGTAAGTAAAATTTCTTTTTCATATAAGACTTTGTTATACAAGACTTTGTTAATTAATATATATTTTCAAATATTATATTAATTAATTATATCCTAATTTCAAATGAAAAGTGGTTTTACATTTTTTTTTTTATTTTTATTTATTATTCTTCAGCTTTTTGACTGTTTGGATGTATCTCCTAAAAAATTATATGGATAATAGAATCATACAAATTTTACTTAAACATTTCATTTGGTAATCTGTATCCAACACACAACCAAATCAAATGCTGAAGTAATATTTTTATCTATCATTCTAAATATTTTTATACAATAAAGTAGACAGTAAACGAACTACATTTTTTTCTGTTAGTGTTTTATATACTGGTATTGAATATGTATTGAGCACAAATGTAAAGTAGTGACGATCTTTATTTTAAAAAATTAAATAATCATAATTAAGAATGAGGCTTACTCGCTCTTACCATTTATTTATGAGTAAAATACAGTGGTACTTTACAGAAGAAAAATTTAATTTTCAAAATTTCCCGCGAAAACGCCACTTCTGTAATGCATGGCGCGTCATATCGACGACATGACAGAAAATCATGGCCCTCTGAAACTTCTGATATGAGTAAGAGAAGAGTGACGTCATGCGCTGTTTGCGGTTACGTGACAAAGAGTATAAAATATTTGTTTTCCATAATTAATTTAAGCAATATTATAAATATAATAACCATAAAAGTGTGATTATCGGTAAAAGTATACCTACCTTCTACCAGAAAAGTAAATTTATTTTCGTTTACTGTCTACACCCGTATTGTGTTCTTCATGTTCATTGTTCCAATTCCTACTAATAGTCAATTCAAAAATCAAATAACACTAGTTATTTCACTCGATGATAGATTATGGTCTTTTTGCGTAACACACACAAACATATATATATATATATATATATATATATATATATATATATATATATATATATATATATATATATATATATATATCTATATATATATATATGTGTGTGTGTATATATATACCTATTCTTAGATGAGTGAGCAAGAAATAGAAGCAGTGCTCGACAAGACAATGGTTCTATTCCGTTTCCTGCAAGAGAAGGACGTGTTCGAACGTTATTACAAGCAGCACCTCGCCAAGCGGCTGCTTCTCAACAAGTCCGTGTCAGACGACAGCGAGAAGAATATGATCTCCAAACTGAAGGTCAGTTTACTATACATCAATCGCATAACTAAAATGTTACTAATCTTGTTAGTAGCTCGGTGGCGTAGTGGATAAGCGCCGCGTTCCGCTATCGTTGTTGTTGAGCAACTTTCGCAATGGTCTGCCACGGGATGGGTGGCCAAAAATTATTATCTCGAGCCACTCCGTGCTTTGGAAGGCAGGTTGAGCCGTTAGTCCCGGTAGCATTTGTAATCGGAATACCTTCCGATCCGCACTACGTCAGCTTGGAGGGTAATGGTTCAACCTCCTTAAACCATCCATATGGAAAGCAGTGGGGAATTGATGTCCCGTCAAGCTGATGATGATGAATGTTGTGATGTTCTCATCGTTATGTCGTACGAATGAAGCTCAAATTGGTGTGGGAAAGTTTCTGTTTAATGAGATGACAAATAAAAAACTAGCCTCCGTTCTCGTGTGTCCAGCGCCGGCTCAATGAAACTGTCCATAAAAAATCACAAAAGAAATACTAAGCAACACCGTTTAAAGAGTATCAGTTAGCCAATGACGAAATAAAATCTTTAGAAAGGCTATTCGCTTCTGAAAGGCTATTCCGAAAAATTTATACTTTTGAATACTGCAGACATACACTCAAGTTCAAAGAACAAATGTGTAATTTTATGTTTTTATTTTTTTAAGGTTTAAATAATTAGAGCAAACAATCTGTTTTTCATGCCATGCCGGCCAAATATGAGCGCCTTAGGCAGTTGCCTAGTTAACCTATATGAACAGGCCGGCCTTAATTTAACCGATGACAGTTAAATTTTTTCATAAGTCAATAAGGAACAGTCCTCATTGATATTGATATGCATAGTGCATAAGTTCGAATAAATATTGACATTAACTTGTAAACAACTATACAAAAATACGACTAAGCGAATGGTTTACCCAAATTAGGGCTTTCGTTCAACCAACGGCTGACGTGAATATACACGATTATCAAAAAAATTATGCCTGATTAAAGTACAATCAAAGTTAAAATATAGTATGCACAACAAAGTAAGACTGTCCATCGAAATGTACTCCTACATTCTGCCATTACACATTCTGCCGTACCATTTAAGAAAATATATGCAGGCTAAAAGACGGTAGGTCCTCTAACGGGGTAGATTTGAATGGTACCTTAAAAGAGTCGTTTGAAGTAGGAAAATCCACTTATTGACAAATTTTGATTTACAACTTTCCCAGAAAGAAGGTATGTTAAAGGACGTGGAACCTCGAGACTTCCATTGTATAATCGGTGATGTCTCACAAATTGAGAACTCTGTCAGTGATTAGTGGTGTCCAAGCTTCTCCGCCCTTCACACATTCTGCAAAATTCTTTAACATTCCATATGGACATTTCTTAGTAAGTGTCCATAGATTTTTTTCATGGATATCTCTTGTAGATAACTTAGAGACAATCGTGCTTAAAGTCTTTGGATTTTAAACTGAACTATGTTGTTTTATAAAGGTTGAAATTTTACGTGATTGGAATTAAAGAATTTTGCAGTAAGACTTTAAGCAGGATTAAATTGTACATTTTTTAAGTACTTATGTAGCTATTTACATTTTTATGTACTGTTAAAACTTAGGCGTTCTATAATTAATAGTGTATTTTATTGTATTTGCTAATGTACTAGCTGGAAATGTTATTTATAATGATTATTTTTTATGAGTTTAGAAATACTGTCGTTTTTTTTAGTAAAATATAAGTTCAATTTTAAAGATAAGTGTAATAAGGATATCCCGAATACCCATCCAGAAAACGTATCAACACTCAGTGATTGGAATTGGTGAACCTATTTGAAATCCAGCTCTAACCTTCATATTAATATGGATATGACCGAGAGCTGAGATTTAAAAATTGTCTAGAACTTTTAAAAAACAAACCAAATTCGCTGATTTTGTTTCATATCAAAAAATGATTAGTTAATAAACCACTGAAACCTTTTTTCTGATCATTCATATTTAAATCTCATGATCATAATCTTTTAATGTGGATATGAAGATAATATCCATATTAAAACAATTTTATGAATGAGATTTGTTAGATTAGGTTAGTATACTTTTTTATTATTGTATCACTATTTATGGTAACATATTGGTTACAGACTGAATGCGGTTGTCAGTTCACATCAAAACTGGAAGGCATGTTCAAGGACATGACTGTCTCCAATACAATCATGGAGGAGTTCAAGGAGCATGTGCTGTCATCCGGGGTGAATTTGTTGTATAATTTTTGTCGTTTAAACGTGTCAAATAACTGTGTAACCGAATTCACGGTAGCCATATGCAATTAAACTGAGCATGAATCCAAGAAAAAATTCTAATTAAAACACCAATTTAACGAACTTCACTAAACGTGACAGTGACAAATGACGTGACAATATATATTGAGTTCTAGCTAGGAACTGTGGCAACTCATGGCAACTTAGTCTAATGGTGGAGGTGGGTAGCGCAATGAATAAACTGGTAGAACTCCTTAGTCTTGATTTATTTTCAATAAGTATTACATTTAATCACTTACAACCAAATATTATGATGCTCACTCTAAGCTGGTCTCGATCAGAAAAGAAAGACTATTCACCAGCAAAACACGAACACGCAAATTCGAATATGAAAAAGTAATAATTTAAAATATTAACGACCAGCATTTGACCATAAACCGTCCTAAGAGTAAATCCTACCTATAGTAATGTGCTCGGACGTTACAGAACTAAGGGTCGCCGAACAGAGAGAATTTCTTACGTTGACCTTTGTGCGTATTGATAAATATAGTAAACAATTTAGATTCTATGTGCGAGCATAATAGCAATATTTTTGCACACGAGTGAAAGAGATATGTAAATGCCGGGTCACTGTACTAAATAGGGGTGTAGACAACTTTTTATATATTTATTTATATACATGAAATATATCTAAAAAAATATAATTCTTTCATAAATTAAAATCTATAAATGAATTTAATTTTCAAAGTTTCCCGCGAAAACGCAAATGTATAAGGTTGAATTCTCTAAGTTCTGATATGAGTTAGAGGGGCATGACGTCACACGATGTTTTTTCATAACTAAGCAATATAATTATAATAAAAATAAAAATGTGACTATCGGTAATAGTATACCAATTAATTGGTATTTATTTTCGTTTACTGTCTACACCGTATTCATTTTTTCGGCAACTGAGCTGTAGCAGATGTTATATGAAACGTGACTAATGTGTGGAGTGATCGTAGACCAATCTTCACGGTGTGGATCTGTCGGTTCGTGTGCTGACTACGGGCTTCTGGCCAACGCAGAGTGCTACGCCCAAGTGCAATATACCCACCGCGCCCAGGAGTGCCTTTGAGGTGTTTAGAAGGTAAATCTTATTAATACCATAATATAAGACATCTGTATAACACTTCAGCGGCTTGAGTGAAACAGCATTATATGCTTTATCATTTTTTAAAACATAATGCGTGAAACGCGGCGTTTATGCTACGCTATTCGATGAGTGAGATTTAAGCCAACTTTTCACGTGCGAAGAACCAAATAAAAGTAGATAATTTGACTACCAATTTACGTCATACGCTCTGATTATTATTTAAGAAGAATATTCTACGAATAAACTTTAAACTTTATAACTGATTGCTGTGTGAGAACCGAGTTCGAGATTACGAGTTTTATTATGAGCCTATATTAAGAGCGCTTTAGGCAGTTGATTAGTTTGCCTATAGAGACGGGCTGGGTCATAAATACATGTGCCAATTTACGACACACACGGATATAAAATTAAGTAATCTGTCTACCATCATATTGATTTATCTATTATCGCCATTAGTACACTGACGCATTCGCTTGTGAATGCGAAACATCTACGAAACTATGCGTATGCAAACAGGGTTGTCACCTTTGGAGAAACAAAAGTCATAAGAAATCGGTTCGGATGGGAACCTTCAATGCGAATCATGTGCGTTTGTGTAACGAAGTTTTTACCAGTTGACTGCGAAATTGTACTGATAAGGACGCAGCTATGGCATCGAGTTAATAATAGGGCGAGACAAAACTGCCATATAACTGACAAGATTTTGCAAATATTTCGCATTCGCATATGATTGCGTCAGTGTACTAACGGTATTATAGATGTAAATTCTCCGAATAGGATGTAAAAAGCATACCATAGATAATACCAATTTATAATTCGTCCGTTGTTAGTTTCTACCTGGCGAAGCACTCTGGCCGCCAGTTGTCGCTGCAGCCGCAGCTGGGCAGCGCGGACCTTCACGCGACGTTCCGGTCGGCGGCCCCCTCCCCGCCCCACTCGCCCCCCGCGCCCGCCCCCGCGGCCCCCCTCGCGCCGTCGTCGGCGCCCCTCGCGCCCCCCTCGGCGGCCTCAGTGCGCAGGCATATCATACAAGTGTCCACCTTCCAGATGTGTGTGCTGCTGCTGTTCAATAAACGCGAGCGGCTCACGTACGAGGTCAGTGTTAACACTTAATATGGCAGGGTTCAGTATTGATAATAGGGATGATGACTGAATAAAAATAAACAATTTAGTCCGTCAGACAGATAATGGAAAAATATTAAATACATATTTTTATCTACACTCAAATCGAAAAATTCGAATTACGAATTCAAAGACGATTCTTTACATACGCACTTTACAAACGCATATACATAAAATTAAAAATAAAACTCATTATAGTTCTTGATAATTACGAAGCCGGGAATATAGTTGAGAATACAATCTATATACAGAGTATGCTACAGCAACACACGTAGACAACGCTCACGGTCGTGAATTTGCTAGTCTAATCTAGCTAGTCTATACACTTTACTTATATTATAAAAAGCGAAGATATCCTTCACATGATATGTACTTATCCAAATTAAATTGGATTATCATGTTCTATGCCACTAAACAGTTCTACAGTTCAGCTTGCAGAAAGCTAGTGTATTATAAAATCCTTGCAAATTTCATTCATTATTGTAATTCACACCATCAAATATGAAAAAATGATTTTTTTGTTATAAGATCGAATTAGCTACCAACTTCATGGCATAGCTGTCATTTTATTAGAATAGAATAGAAAATTCTTTATTGTTATCATTACACAAGTTTTCAAACGTTTACAAATTCAAAACAGTTTTCCGAAATAATGTAACAATTGGCGGCCTTATACATTATTAAGAAAATATATTACAATATTCTGAATTCCAAATAGATTAAAAAAACAAATAATATATGACATATGCATAATATGCAAATATACATACACACAATACATATATGTATATAGTCGGCAATAGCAGCATATTTCATTGTAAAAGGTAGAATTCCATATGCTATTTTGAAAAATTCGCAGATATTGCTCGTCTTATAGATACTAGAAAGGAATTCCAGAGATGAGCAGCTTGTAAATATTTTTATTGCGAACAGATAATATGACAGGTTATAATACTTACTATATACGAATTTTCCTATAAAAAGTAATTCAACAAGAATCTTATGCATTTAAACAGGAAATACTGAATGAGACTGATATACCGGAGAAGGACTTGATCCGTGCTCTGCAATCACTCGCAATGGGTAAAGCGACACAGCGAGTGCTCATCAAGCATCCCAAGAACAAAGAGATCGAGCCATCACACCAGTTTTATGTTAATGATGCCTTCACTTCCAAGTTACACAGGTAAGTAAACTCAACACATATGACGAGACGGAAGCTAAATGTTTACGTTATGCTGCCTATAGCTGCCTTTGAGTCGCTGGCTTAAATCTCTAACAAATTTCAATTTAATTGATGTAGTAGCTTCGAAGAAAATCAACTGCAATATTATAAGTCCCGTGAATTGCTAATACGCTGGAACCTTGTCGTGACGTCAATATAGAAAGTATAGCTAGCACAAAAGGCAAGAGATAAATGATTTATTAATTATTGAAATATTTATACGATAGTGACCCCCAAAATATTGTTATAATAATTTAATAAGTTTTAGTTTGTTAATTTATTGCATGAATTTTTGGAAATGAATCAATTTATATGCATATATTGAGGTATATGGAAAATATAAAAAAAATATATCAAATAAAATTACATTTACTTTGTAATAACGCGATAACAAACGGATACGACATTTTTAAATAACAAAAGTAATAATGAGGTAAGAGACATTGGATATATTTATTATTAGTGAAATTATCTTTACTTGTTATAAAAATCATAACAGCAGTTACTATTTTATTCAACCATAACAATTAACAACAAAACTTAAAAATCCAAAAACGTGGATACGTCTATGTTTTCGTTCTACAGGGGGGTCATTCTGTGAGCAGGAGCTTATGCACTAACGCCATCTATTGGCGTATAAGTGAACTATGCTTGCTCTGCAGGGGGAGGGGCATTCTGTCAGCAGGAGTATATGCACTAACGCCATCTGTTGGCGCTAGTGAATACTTTTTTCATTCAACAAATGAACGCAACGAATATTTATTTATTTAGTGTTTAGTGTCTTCAATTTGTTTATTTTTCTTTTTTTTAATTATTCATTTATAAATGCAATTATGTCACAAGAATGATGAATGCAATTATGTGAAGAGTGGTTAAAAGCTATTCGTGATGTGTTTCCTAACCTGGATGTTGGTGAAAATTTTTAAGTTTGTGAAAAACATTTTAAAGAAGCAGATTTTACGGCATATATAATTGACAAATCTGGAAAAATTATTCAAAAGGTATCATTATAATATACAATACAATAAATATAATACAATAAATAAAAAAAAATTAGCTTTATGCCATACGTATGCATATGTACACATCCATCTACGAACACGTAAATATAGCTTTATATGCGTTAGCAATAAAATGTAAAATATTTTTGAGTGAATTTGCTAATCTTTAAATAAAAATAAATAAATTCGTGCAAATTCAAGTAAAGGACATCGTCGAAAATGGCCCCAATATGAACAAGCATGAATATTTTACAATAAATCGCCGACATCTTTACTGTCATGTCGTACATGAAGCTGTTAAGGATGTACTACTTGTAATGTATATAATAATCGATAACTTGATTACACTTTAATTTTTACACTACGAACGATTTTTTCATTCGTTATAAATTGACATATTAATAAATGGCGAAATATAAAAAAAAACTTTTTAAAACTGAATACAATATTCGTATATGATTTAATCAAATACTATTTATTAGCACATAATCGTATGCTAATATTTGGTTAAGCATTTGAGAGTATTGCATGTTCTTAATAGGAAAACATAACAAAAATGATGTGCGATCTTAACACAAGCCATCTAAATAAGTACTCGTCAACCAATGTTTATTTGTTAACGGTACTTATTTTTTAACTCAATTACGTCATCAAAATGGCGGCCAGGAGCATTAGCAATTTGCGGGGATTATATAGCAGCTTTCGTTTGTTCGAATATTTCACTGATAGATTTCTTTTTTCTTCAATAACAACAGCGTACTTGTCGTTGCAGAGTAAAAATCCAAACGGTAGCAGCTAAAGGCGAATCGGAACCTGAACGAAGGGAGACACGTAACAAAGTCGACGAAGACCGCAAACATGAAATCGAAGCCGCCATAGTACGCATCATGAAGGCGCGCAAGAAGATGCAGGTGAGTTACAGCTTAGCAGACGATAACAAATCTTTAAGACAAAAATTGCAAAACTATCCAACGGCAGAGTCAACCTTTAATTTGGGGGTTGTAAAGTCAAATTGTCAAAATTCTCTACTCTATTTTAAACCTTAGTACATTGAGTTTAGAGTTAAAATTCACTGGGAGATTTTGATATATTATAGTAACTGGACAAACTGATGTTTGTAATCAATATAAAAAGCGAAAGGTATTATTCGTATTATTACCATCTCAGCGTACCAGGGACGAAGTGGATTTTTAAGAATTTTTCATAACAATATAAAACCAGTTACAATTTTGATGTTTGTTAAAACTTAATTGCTTCCGAAACCGTACTGACAAGGAGGTAGCTATTTAATCGAGCTACAAATAGAGCGAGACAAAGTTACCATGCATCTGACAAGTTGCGCTCGTCAATAGGATAAGTAACCAAAAATTTATTATCTCGAACTCCTTCGTGCTTCGGAAGGCACGTTGATCTCGGCTGCATCTGCAATCGTTAACACCTACCAACCCACACCGGGGCCGTGTAGTGGGTGATGGCCCATTCTCCGTATTCGTTTCCATCCATAGGAAAGACCTATGTCCCAACATTAATGTAAAGCTGGTTATGATAAAAAATATGTTGACACTATGCCATCGGTTTTTAAAAAATCTAAAGCATGAGACCTTGTACCGAGAAGAACCGCTATAAAAATCCGGCCAATGCTGCATTTTTCTCTCCCGTTTTACTTCATACAGAGTTATGAAGATTAAAAATAACTTCATTAAAATATGAAGTCACTTTCCGTTAATTTTCTTTGTATTGTCGATTAATAGACGATTGTTTTCGAGGTTTTCGGATGCCCATTATTTATATTGAACTACCGTATATCGCTAATATGTTTTTTTAAGTTTTTTTAATATATATAATGTTCCCCAGCACACACTTCTCGTGACGGAGGTGACAGAGCAACTGCGCGCCCGTTTCCTCCCATCCCCTGTGGTGATAAAGAAGCGTATCGAAGGTCTGATCGAACGCGAGTATCTCGCCCGCACGCCTGACGACCGCAAAGTGTACACATACGTTGCATAGGTAAACTAACCCGCTTCACTACACTACCGGCGAATATATATCGATGCAATCAGGTCCGGATCTACGATTTATATTAATCCCCCCCCCCTCTCCACACACAACCCTACCCCTACGCTCCATGGAGGGCCGAATTTTATATTACTTTTTGTAGGATGTTGATACATGTTCGTCTGTTAGCGTATATGTATGAAAAAAAGTTGTGAAGAAGGTATAATATAATCATGATTTAAGAGTAAATGCCCCCACTTCCCCCCTAGATCCGGGCCTGGATGCAAGACTCTCGTTATCGATGTAAAAATATATTGTAAATAGCGGTAGATTTAGTTGGAATGTGTTGATGTACCGATGAGGCAGTGTTAAATTTCCCTGATCAGCTTAATTAAATTTTTCTTTTCTAATATCGATAGCTTTTTATTCTATCTCTCCCTCGGACCTCAAATGAACGCTGATAAGAAGGCGTTTCGCACCTCACTTTGATTTTATTTTCAGGCCAACGAAACTCGAGAAGGGCGGATGCCAAGTTAGAAGTGATAGAAGTAACAGTAACAAAAGTATTTAAATTATTTCAATAAATAAAAATTATTAGTTATTACTAACGGTTATTTTATTTGATAATAAATTGTGATACATAGAATCAGAGACACACTAAGCTTTGAACTACAGTTAGCGTTTGAGGGGAACGGATAAAAGAAATCATTCGGCAAATGTATATTCAGATGGGGACCTCCTGCGTATTCATACGCTTTAGGTTTTGTTCCGTCTATGAAATTCGTGTCTATAGTCAAAACTGTTGAAACGTCGTCAGTGCTGAAGGTTACATTTTGCGTGGCCACCTCAATCTTCACTGCAATTATTTTGTCTTCCCGTTTCGTAAAAACTTCACTAACATCCGCAAACGTGAATAGATATGAAAATCTAACTATCAAATTGTAGCAACGCAATCTGGAATTCTTCGCTAAAAATTGCCCATAAGTGAAGTCTTTTTCTTCGACATTATTCTTTATAAGCAACCAATCACTTTCTTTATTCTTCATCGGGTTCCCTAGTGCAGATATAAATATAGTCTCGCTTAATCCAGCTAACCGTTTAATATTGCTTTCTATCTCTTCGCAAACATCTGTACTGTTTGACTTTGACCATATTGGTTTGTTGTAAAAATATCTACACTTCAATCGCTTGTTAATGCCAAACTTCACGAAATTATTAGTGCCATTGAAAGTCACGCATAGTCCACCGTTGTTATTAATTTGTGTCAAATACTTTTTGGTTAAGGTACTGTTGAGAAAATTTATTGTATGATTACCTTCAGCCGTTGATGATATTATTGGCAAACCGTAGATGTATCCCGGATTCCCACTAACTTTAATTATCTGGTCAATTGATATATTGGCCATGACGAATCTTACATCGATCACCTGTGTCATAAACGGAATATGATTTTGAATATTCTTCACGAAGAATTTTATGGTGACATTTGTTATTTTAGAATCATAATAATAAAAAGTGTATTCCAAATGTAGTGCAATATTTGTGCAATAACTTTCATTGCAAAAAGGCTCATGAATAGTTTTGTTGTAATCTGCACACTTGCTGCCATCTTCATCACAAATTATAATAGTCCAATTTGTGCAGTGAAGTGAGGAACAGTTCTGAAAATTAAAATTTAATATTTTGTGATAGTGTAAATAAATTATTTTAAAGCCAAAAATAGGCTATACCCCATCAACCAATATCGACTCATAGATTGGGGTCCACTCCTTGTTTCCAGGTGGTGTCGCGTGGTCATTGTTTAGAAATTCGTAGTAGTGCATGACGTCCATAAGGTTCAATTTACAAGTCCGCAGTACTGATTGAAGGCAAAAAAGTATTCACACAATGGGGATTCGATGTAATTGAAGTTCATAAAAAATGTAACTGCTCAAGATGAGAAAGGGGTTCTAACTACCATATTATGACCGACAATCTTCTCCTCAAAATATTGGTAATATCGATTCCTTGCCATCAAGTTTAGTTACGCGGTAGGACTGCAACCTATGGAAATGCTATTGACCTTTCACAACGTAGGTACATGAGACAGTCCACCGCGGAAGCGCAATTTCTAAAAATCATGTGGAAGTGTTGTGACATACAAATGATGATTTTAAATTCTCTATTTCAATCTCAGATATTTTTACCATTGTGATATTATTAGTTTGACATATTTCAAAACAAATTTAATTACCAATGCTGAAGATTCAAATGACTTCTCAGTCACACTGATACAATAAGATTCTTGAGATGTTTTGAAAATTTGTAACATTTCCAAGTCCTTCAAATGGACACTGCATGCAATACTTTGTTCTTTTAAAAACAATATCGGTCGTCTACCGCTGCAGTAATTATTAACAGTTGGTGATGGCATATCTGTAATATTAAAAGAAATCTTATATTCAAACGTGTGTGTGGCGCACAGATGCACTATTTTATTTATTTCCTATTTTTGATGCGTGCTGTAATCAGGGTTTCCATCTTATGGGACACATAATTAGGGACATTCGGACAGTCATCAAAAGTAATCGGAATTCAGTCTAATATAGATCATAATAAAAATAATAAAAATTTTGTTTTTCTTTTTAATCAAGGCTCGCCTGATGGGACTTGTTTTTTTTTATTTTTAGTTCAATTTTGGCAGTCTTGTTATTTGATATATTAATAAATTACAAGAATATTTTTTATAACTACGCGCTGCGTGGAATGATATCATAACATTTTTATATGCTCAAAATAAGCGATTGTGAAGTATTATAAAAATCTGAACTGTCCCGTAAAATTAGAGACGGGTGGTTATGCTGGTGGTGACGATCAGCCCTACGGTTCTATAAAAATCCGAACCCTAATTCGAATTCACTCAGGTGTCACTGTAAACGCGGCAACAACTCAGCCTTAAATTGGTAATAACATTTCGTGACATACGTGAAATGAGTTTCGAAATGACATAGGAATAGAATATCTGAATCACGTATGAATCAATCAATCTTGTTTTTTTTTATACAAAAATGGAATCAAGAGAATTTCTACATTAAATGACGTGAACTCGGACACATGAGTGAATTCGAATGCGGGTTTAGATTTTTACAGAATCGCTCTGCAGTTACCAATATTAACGCAAGTGGTAGTTGTATAGAGGTAGTTAGTTGTGTTGTTATACTCTTCTATCACGATAAAGAGAATCAAACTTCTGCACCGAGAAATTATGAAAAACAGTGTGACATCGCGATTCCATTTACACCTACAATGCACAAAACGCTTCGATGTTTCAATGAAGTGCTGGCTCTGGCTGAAAAGCCATCAACGACTTCAATTAACTTCACGAGTATTGCATTGGGCAAATAGAATAAATACAGACAGCCTATACAGAACTGTCAAATTTCCACTTGATTTTAAACCTTAAAATATTGTAAATAGAGTTCACAATCGATTGAGGAAATTTGACATATAGTTGCCTGGTGTATTACCTAACGTGCAACCTGTGCACTTAAATTTTATTTCACAGCTATGAATCTATTAACTATTGTTCTGGTTATATTATAGCATTGTTTTTTTTTTAAGGGTTTAGGGGTCAGTTATATTATTTACCTTAATAAGTATGAACAATAATTACCTATATACCAAATTGAATTTTCCTTCAAAACCCATATGGTATCACCATATGCATATGGCTTCCTTTCAAATTCTGTATGACTTGAAATATCATTTTTATGCCATTTAAATGCTGTATCTGCTGCACTAACATCATACTGAAAACGCTAGAAATATTAATCTTTACCACTTATAAATTATTTAACAAATTATTTAAGTGGTCTGCTAAACCAATTAAATAACATTTAAACTTACAATTTATGTTAACAAAAAATTACACAGAATTTAGAAACACTAACACAGATTGTTTGTCAAGCAATATTAAGATAAATATCCTTAAAGTATATGCAAAATTAATAATAGAAGTAACAATATGTTAATCACACATGCACATTTGCTCACCTTATCATAATTTAGGTTCCGTTTATCAGGGATATTAGTCTTGACAATACAAAACAAATTGTCAAATAAGTCTGTTTTATCAACTCTTCTAGATATTTCAAAGGGATAGCATAAATATTGAGATTCTCCTTTATTACTATTTGAAATATTGCAATTGGAAAACAACTTTTTATCCTTGTCAGTACAGTCATTATCACAGCAGCAACTAATATCACAAACTTTGTACTGAAAAAACCGGTAAATTATGTTGAAATTACGTTAAACCAATAAACACTCTATTGAAAAATTGGATAGTGATGATATTTACCAACAAATCACAACCACAATTTTTACTCCTTAAGTTTATCTTTGGTATATCTGGTTTTACTATACTTTTGTTTTTCTTATCATAAAAGGTAATTTCAGTTATATTATCTATTTCAGTAGTGGTATATTGTGTCTCTGTGGTAAAGGCCTCCTCGGTTGTTGAAGTATTCTCATCATAAAATTCTTCTATTATTGTATTTGTGATCATAGTGGAAATTTCAGTTACGGGTACAGATATATTACTATATGTTATTGTGGACGGAGTGAGTTTGAGTGCACCCTTACTATCAATATGCGTTCTATAATATAATGCATGTGGTTTCTGTTTGAAACTCTTTAACATCTCATCAAACCTTTTTTTTCGACTAGCAACATTGAGATCAGTTTGTTCCTCTTCCAATTTCATTTTGTCTTGAATATAATCCATAACACTAAATTGTATAAGTATTGATAATAAAGTGAATCCAAGATAAGTAATAACTCTCATAGTTACTTATACTCTACACCAAACTGACTAAAATTTCTTAAAATTATATCTATACTTAATTTTATAGAGCCTTTAGACTGTGTTTTCAATTTGAACCTGTAAATAGAACTAAGTTAATTGCTAAATTAAAAGGACTGGTACTTCAAGCAATTTTAGAATACATTAAACACAAACCTATCAATGCCTAAATTAATAATATCAGAATTCAATAATTGATGAGAACCACCCAGAAAATATTCCCTTATTCTATCAGTCAATGTGGTGGCAGATGGGAGCCAACATGGTACATCCAGAATGTGATGTCCTGGAACTACAGGTAAAGTGCAACAACTGTATCCCACAATCCAAACACGACCAACTGAGTCTAAACAATTTACCTGTAACACTAATTTTGGCCAACCTATAACAATCACATTAAAATTATTAATTATAACAACAAATGAGCATGTGGTGTTCAAAATGTGCTAAAGTTATTATTGAAAATATCAAACAGCTAAAATATTTATTTAAATTTGATCTTTGGACAAAGTTTGAGACTAACAGTATTTTTTTTGGTATCAGTTTAAAAAGACCTTGGCGAGTTTTGATGCAAACTGATTCCTATGAATGTAATACTTTTGAAGAGTTTAGTCCATTTTCATATAAAAATACTTCAATTAAATTGCTATAAAAATGAGTAAACATTCACACACACATAAGTAAATAATAAAAATATCAGAGCCCAACTGAATTTTATTTTTTCAAATCTATGCCATATATTGGAATGTAGTTTTGCCTTGATTAATTTACCTTTTGTATTTAATAGGTAGTTGTTGGTTCATGGCATAACATAATATGTATTCATAGAATTATTTTAGACCTTGAAATGGTTATTGTGTCAAAGCCTTTTATTAGTAAAATAACTAATGAAATACTAAACTTTTGAATACAACCTTGCAACCCTTTAGTGACGTAATGAATGTCGAGCGGATGAACCCAAATTACTGTTTTGCTATGATCTGGTTTCCCTGAAACAGTCTGTCCCTCAGGACAACCTGATATTACTGTCCAGTTCTGACCTGAAATATAGCAACTATTCGCAATATGTACATATTAATGAAGCAATGAATCCTCAGTTACAACTTAAAGTAAATACACACCAGCTTGGAATGAATATCGACAAAACAAGGAACACGACTCTTCGAACTGGGACGCACCGTTCAGCTGTCCCAGTATATGCAATTCTGCCATTAGATTATAACTTATAAGATTTATGACAAACGGAATCGAACGAAAATTAATTTAATTCGCTTTCTTTTGAACGTAATTACACTAACTTCTTTGCAAAATAACGAAAATCTGTTGACTTTCGGAATGTCTGTTTGACAAAAGGTAACTATGGCAACGGCGTTTCGTAAAGACGCGTTTAGACGAGGACAGTAACCGGCGTCAGTGATAGCGCCAAAACTGTGGCCAAAACTGACCAACAACATTCTGTTTACAATGGAGATACATGGAATCATACTCATACCCTATGTAATTTGTGTTGGATGGAGTCAGTATCAGTACCTATACCACAGTACAAATATATAATAAGCAGGTGCACTCGACCCGAGCGAGAGATATAGTATTTTTTTTGGTATCAGTTTAAAAAGACCTTGGCGAGTTTTGATGCAAACTGATTCCTATGAATGTAATACTTTTGAAGAGTTTAGGCCATTTCATATAAAAATACTTCAATTAAATTGCTATAAAAATGAGTAAACATTCACACACACATAAGTAAATAAAAAAAATATCAGAGCCCAACTGAATTTTATTTTTTCAAATCTATGCCATATATTGGAATGTAGTTTTGCCTTGATTAATTTACCTTTTGTATTTAATAGGTAGTCGTTGGTTCATGGCATAACATAATATGTATTCATAGAATTATTTTAGACCTTGAAATGGTTATTGTGTCAAAGCCTTTTATTAGTAAAATAACTAATGAAATACTAAACTTTTGAATACAACCTTGCAACCCTTTAGTGACGTAATGAATGTCGAGCAGGTGCACTCGACCCGAGCGAGAGATGATAGGCTAAACATGTAGAGCTGTCGCTTATATGTTATTCAATCGTCAGAAATGTATGGTCAATCAAGTTCTAAAATATAGTTTCCCCGGAATGCTAAGCGTCCGGAAACTATAATACATCTTTTTAATGTTTTTTTTTTATATATAGACCAGGAGCTGACTACAATTTTTTTCATGTCGTCAATTTAGTGTTTAGTAAAATTTTAAACGTGGCTTTAAAGAACGATGTATTTATTCAATTTTTGCCAAATAATCAGGCTACGAACAAAATAAGATAATGCCGATCTTAATTTTTAATAATCATGTACTTTGTGCAATCAGTTTCTATCAATGGCCCATATTTTTTTATACTACATTGTCTGATACGCAAATATACAATTCAATGTCAATTTCAATTTAGCGGTTTTCGGGCATGAGATTTAATAAATTAAACTACAAATTCATGATATGAAAATATCTTTATTCAGTAAGCTTACTGTAAGCACTTTTGAATCGTCAAAAAAAAATTTCCCCTGCCACTTATTTGGTAAACGAAATCTTGAGCAGAAATAATTGATAAACACTTTTGATGGGTAAATCAAATCAAATCAAATCAAATCAAAATTTATTTATTCAATTTAGGCTTTTACAGAGCACTTGTGAAAGTCGAAAACTACGCCATCGGTTCGCAAAACTACGGCGGGAGACCTTGTACTGAGAAGAACCGGCAAGAAACTCAGCAAGGGCTATTTTTTTCTCCCTGTTTTATTTCACACAGAGAAGTCTTATTGAAAAGTGACTTCATTAGAATATGAAGTCACTTTCCATTACAATATTAGAAAGTAAATACAACAAAGTTAAAATATCTAACACCATGCCTTTTTGTCATTTAGATATTCCTTAACGGTATAATACCCTTTACTTTGTAGACAACTTTTTATATGACTTTTAAAATGATTTATTGGCAAATCTAATACATCACTGGGGATCTTGTTAAAGTATTGTATACCTTGACCCATGAAAGAACCTAATACCTTCTGTAACCTGTAAGAAGGCACTACTAGCTTGTTTTTATTTCTAGTATTAAGTTTGTGTACATCACTATGTTTGGTATACACATTAATATTGTTCCGGACAAAAAGTATACAACTATATATAAATTGAGATGCAACCGTCAATATTCCAATTTCTTTAAATTTCTCTCTAAGAGATATTCGCGAACCCAACTGATAGATAGATCTTATTGCCCTTTTTTGTAAAACAAATATAGACTGAATATCGGCTGCCGTTCCCCACAATATAATGCCATAGGACATGATACTGTGAAAATAACTAAAGTACACTGTCCGGGCAGTTTCTATATCGGTAATTTGTCTTATTTTTCGTATGGCATATGCAGCCGAGCTGAGTTTACCAGCTAATATAGAAATATGCGGGTTCCATTGCAGTTTTGAATCTAGTGTTATGCCCAAAAATTTTGTTGAACTTACTAACTCTAAATGTTCGTTGTTGAGTTTAATTTCAGTTGGTTCTACTTTTACATTAGGTAAAGTGAATTTTATACATTTAGTTTTTTTAGCATTCAATTGAAGATTATTAACTGTGAACCAAGATAAGACTCGTGAAAGAGTATTGTTTACATCGTCAAAATTATATTTGTTTCTGTCAATGTTAAATATTAATGAAGTGTCATCTGCAAACAACACGATCTCACACAGGTTTTTAACAAAAAATGGCAAATCATTTATATATATTAAAAACAGAAATGGGCCTAAGATAGAACCTTGGGGAACGCCTATTTTTACATGAGACCCCGACGACTTCGCACCGTTTATATCTACCGTTTGTGTTCTGGAACTAAGATACGACAGCATTAGTTTTTTGAGCAGCACCTTTAATACCGTAGTAATTCAGTTTAAACGACAGTGTCTGATGCTCAACACAATCGAAGGCTTTGGACAGATCGCAAAAAACACCAAGAGCGTTTTGCGATCCCTCCCATGCTTTAAATATATGCTTCAGTAGCGCAACACCCGCATCTGTTGTCGAACGACCCTTAGTAAAACCGTATTGCTTAGTATGCAAAAGTTTGTTGGAATTAAAGTAGGATATTAATTGTTCCAGAATAAGTTTTTCAAAAATCTTGCTTAGTGTCGGTAGAATTGAAATGGGTCTATAATTACTAGGATCCTGTTTATTACCAGCTTTAAAAAGAGGAATGACTTTACTAAATTTCATGAGATCTGGGAAAATACCCTCATCAATACAGTGATTGAAAATATCAGCGAGATAGGGAGCAATGATATTAATTATATTCACTGATATACCCCATAAGTCACGAGTGTTTTTTAATTTTATTGATCTGAAGCCTTTAATAACATCTAATGAATCAATATATTTGAACTTAAATAAGGTATCACATTTTGGTACACATTTCCTAAGCAAAGCCATTGCTGCCTCTGGCGAAGAATTCAAATTAGAAGTTGTCTCGATCGGTTTATTTATGAAAAAATCATCAAAAATATTGGCGATCAGTTCAGGAGTTTTTAATAGCTCGTTTTTGAAAGTAAGTGCCAATACGTCGTCATGTGGTCTGTTTTTACCAGTTTCACGATTGATAATATTCCAAGTAGTTTTTATTTTATCACTGGAATTTTTAATTTTGTCTCTAATAAAATTTGACTTCGCCAATGCACATACTTTTTTGAATAATTTGGAGTAAGCTTTTACATAATCTACGAATTTTTCAGAATGGTTATACTTTCTAAGATTGTACAACTCATATAACCTGTTTCTGCTTTTATAAATACCAGTCGTAGCCCAGTCACAAAACTGTAGTTTCTGCGTAGTAATTTTCTTCGTTTTAGAAGGGAAAGCTCGATCGAATTCATTCTTTATGAGATGAAAAAGGTTATTATAAAGTATATCGGGGTCGTCATGTGACCATGACATCTGCACGATTTTCTCATCTATATTTAGTTGAAAATTATTTATACGTTTATTATTAAATGGTCTAACTTCTATTATTTTAGGTTCATTAGGAACCGTTATCACGTAAGTAACTTTCAAGCCATAATGATCAGATGAAATATTATTAAAAACTAATTTGTTTGTTGGGTTGCGTTCTGAAAAAATATTATCCAAACAAGTAGCTGAATTCGCAGTCACTCTTGTCGGTTCATGAAATTGATTTGTTAAATTAAAACATTTGAACAAAGAGAGAAAACGATCGGATGTTATACTGGGTTTGAGAAGATCTATGTTTAAAATCACCACATACAACTAAAAATTTGTTTTTTGAGTCTAACTTTTTAAGCACATCCTCCATCACTAACTCAAAAACACTATAATTACCTTTGGGGGGTCGGTATACACATACTATGATTAAATTACTTAATTCTACACAAGAAAGTTCAATATCTCGTTCTACCGTTAATTCTACGATATCTTTTCGTTCCTTAGATTTTACAATATCACTAACCAATATTAATGATCCACCGCATTTTGCTCCCCGACGTACATATGAACTTTGCATATGAAAATTATTTAAATAAAACGACATTTCACTGAGTTGCAGCCAATGTTCTGTTAAACAAACTATTTGTATATCATTTGATTGAATAAATAACTCTAATTCTAAGTCTTTGCCGGCCAAACACTGTATATTTTGATGCATTATATTAATGTATTTAGCCTTTGTCTTACTTTTCAGTTTAAAACTGAATTTGTCAAATTAATATTTACATTAGTAGAATTACTAATACAAAAATTATTCTGTGTTATATCATATATAACAGAATCTTGTAAATTAAAAGCTAACAAAGTAGCTATTTCGGTCTTACATGATTTAGTCAGATACATATTATCTTTTGTCAGATTTATTTTTTTAATATACTTATTAATATCAAAAAATAAAATAACGTCACTATGACGAGATATCATATTATATAATGTCAAATTTAATTTATGTATGCGCATGTTTTGTTCCTTATTGTAGTTTTTGACATATGGAAAGCTGCTTATTATCATTTTACAATTTGATTCAGATTGTAATTTTAGTAAGTTATCAATACTTTTTACATGACCCTGTATTGATGATGATGAGCTATCACCACACAAAATAATTAAAGTGGTAGCACTATCTAGTTCATTTTTGCTCAGATTTTTTACTATATTGTTAAATAACTACACAACTTATGATATTATAATAAATTACTCGAATACCCAAAGAACGAAATATCATATACCTGATTTATAAAAATGTGAAATACAAAATAATATTAACATCTGA